TTACTGCCACAGCATTTCCACTGGAGTTCGGCAGTGGTGTGTAGGGCTGCGCGATATATTACTGCCACAGCATTTCCACTGGAGTTCGGCAGTGGTGTGTAGGGCTGCGCGATATATTACTGCCACAGCATTTCCACTGGAGTTCGGCAGTGGTGTGTAGGGCTGCGCGATATCCCACTGTGATGTACTCATGATTACATAGCGCGTGCACAACAATCACCAGGGATTTAGATGACGGGCGAAACATTTGCCCAGAACCCAGCGTTTCGGTGCTATTCAGACGTTTACTTACGCCCACAATTTAGTAAGTGGATTAGAAGTGTGCCTAAAATATTAGTAATCTATAAACTCAGCATAGAGTTATGTTTAATAAATGTGCGGGACTTTAAACTGGCGTGTTTTTTTGTATTGTTCTTTGTATCGCATGAGTCAAGACAAAACAGAACATCTGACTCTGGTCTTCTGTGACCTTACCAGGATTCTGAGGAGGGGGGGGGGGACGACAAAAATAAAGAAACACATTCTACTTGTGGACCTAAGGGAATGTGAGATAAGACACAAACACCGAAGCACCTATATGCAACTTGCGCTTCCAGAGACAACCATAACAACCATATAACCTGCAGTCAATCTTAAACTGTAAAATAGCACAGCAGTCATGTGCCGCCTCTCCGATTCACCAAGTCCTCTGCAGCCTAGCAGTTCTGCAGGAAAATAAAAAATGGCCCAGTTCTCCATTAAATATATGAACTTTGAAAAGCTAAACATCAGAGCCAGACAGCTCAAAGGACAGTAGTGAAAGTTCAAAATCACACAAGATCAGGCAATATCACAAATGAGATTAAACCCTGCAAAAGGTTCTTTAGCAATGAGGATGTTGTGCAGTCTGATTCAATGTGAGATAATCTTTAATCAGACGCCCAACTGTGTCATCTCTTTATCAATAATCTATATAAATTTCCCATAATGCAATACATACTTTGAAACAACTGGATAGAAAGGCCTCTACCAAGAAACTAACCAACCATACATGCGAAAAGCTGATATCAATCTGCTAACAGAGGTCTGAGTCATGACCAAGACTATTCAAATCGTGGTCCTCAAGATTCAAGCACTGCTGAATTTCCAGCCTTCCTTTTCTGTGCAAACAAGGCGTGAAGCCTCTGGCCAATCAGAATCAATAATTATTAAATTAAGTACCTTGGTCTAGACCAGGGGTGTCAAACTCCAGTCCTGGGGGGCCGCAGCCCTGTGTAGCTTAGTTCTTTCCCTGTTCCACCACAAATGATTAGGCTCAAGAGCTGTGTGGCAATTAGCACAAGCAGTTGAATCAGGTGTGTTAAATGAGGGTGAACCAAAAACTGTGTAGGGCTCCGCCCCCCCCGGTCTAGACAGTCCCCCAAACCACAACAAAAAGCCCTACTCACCTTATTCCGGGGAAGAGCAGTACTAGCACGTTTGATTCTCACCCGCTAAATACCAGTCATCTTGAAGCACAGTGTCAGTCAGTGAGGACCCTCAGGGACTACAGACCCTGTGAAACTAACGTGTCTGGCGGTTTTGTAGGGCTAGGAACTGCACCCCCCCCCCCATAGCTAGATGACGATGACTAGAAATCCTACTTTGTGACACTGGCCCCAGCACAGTCCAGAGCGACAGTACAAAGCAAACCACCCATGAAGGGCCACAAGTTCTTACGTAAACATTATGCAATCCGGATGGTCTTGACAGGATTCTGGAAATACATTCTGCTTTCTCGCATTCACTTCATGAATTACATTTTGTACAAACTTAACTGATTGTGAAACTGGTCCATTCCTCCTCACGATAAATCTGCCTTAACACAGGAGGATGTGGAACTGAGTGGAATTACCACAAAACAGACCCAAACGTAGAACTGCAGAAGAAGCCCAATGCTGTACAGAAGCAAAACCTCAGGTAAGGCGGAGATGAGATACGATGACAGGAGGCTAAGGCTGCAGTTGCTCACAGTATCAAAGCAGGCTGCAGCTGACATGTTTAAAGACCAGCCCCCCAAAACTGAGCACTGCTTTTTACGGCAGTCACTTCTGCAGCCATTCTAAAGGCTCAGCAATCATGTCTGAAAGGATGCACTCAGCACATGATCCCTCAGGGACAAAGATATTAGCTATAATTACCTTATGCTGTGTAGTTCTCCTCTTTGTTCAGAATTTAAACACCACGTGTTCAGCTCAGATATATGCAGTCCCTGGGAAAAAAAAGCCAAAAACAGTAAAATTAATTCACACAAAAAAAAAAAAAACAATTGCTGAGGATCCTGAACCTAATCTGCAGTAAAATTGATGGCAAATGCTGAAAATCGATACTCAGGCTCCCAGGATTCTGCGATGCTGGCAAAGAGAACCTGAAGGAGAGCAGCAGTGTCATCACTGGCCAAGAAACGCAGACTATTTGAGCATTCACTCGGGGTCGGGGTGCTTTCTGGCTCAAGGTGTAAGGAACATGCTTATCAGGATAAGTCCCACACCACCACCTGGGATTCATAACCCCCCCCCCCCCCAGCCCAGGCAAAACCAGTCTGAGGCAAGACACTGAGCAACCCTGGAAAGGACATCTGCCCAACAGGGACCAGCATGAGCAGAGTGCCAGCAGACTCCTGCGATCCAGAGCATGGCGCTCGTCTGACAGCTCCTCCGAGCCTCGCTGCAGGATGGGGGAGGCTTTCGCGTGGTTGAGGGCAGGTTCCTCCCCTTCGCCAGCCCATCCTTAGATACCACAGCGGGGAGAGTCATGCTACCTGATAATCAGGGCGTCTGAATGAATTCCTGCGACGTGCCTCTCTCTCACACAAGCCTCCCACGTGCCCCCCCCCCCCCAAAGCTGCCCACATTCGTCTCCATCACAGCTGCTCTCTCGGCACACAGACTCAGGCGCCTCGTGGCTCTATGGGTGAGAAATCTGTGCCAGTGTTCAAATCCCGTGGCTGGCGTGAGCATATCACTGTATGGGACCCTACAGCCCAAAAACTACCCGACGGTATCCAGACAAATAGCTGACCCTGACTCTGTATCCGAGAGTCTCTTAGGAGTGCAAGATGGCATATGCCAAAAAACAAGGAATCTTAAAGTAACTGCACTCATACCTGGACATTCGGCAAATAAATAAATAAACTTTGTCTCTGGGTTCCATCGGCTGCTGATTAGTGTCACGTTAAAAGCACAGAAACAAACTGTCCATAAGTCAACAACACTGCATCTCTAAGAATACCACACATCACCAGCTCCCCCCCCTTCAGGCAGCTGTGGACCATCCCCCCACCCCTCCCCCACGATGAAGACACCCCAGACACGCTCCGGGGGGACATGGCAGCCTCATTCACAAGATTACAAATAAATTAATCAAAGCAGAGGACGACACAGAAAGATAGCCTTTGCCTCCCAGCCCCCCTGTCTGATTAGCACCTTAGACCTCTGAACCTGCGGAGTGACTGCGTAGAGCATTCCAGCTACATTAGCTAATTGGATGATGTAAAGGGCATCGGAGACCCCACACCGTGAATGACTGCACTCAGTCTGCATAACGACGTTTCAGTCAACAACCCACTGCATATACAACGTTGGCCCCATACAATAATAATGGAGCCGAACAATTCCTACCACCTAGTGACGCTGTATAGCCGCCGTAACGTGGCAGCACAACGATCAAGGTAATGCTCACGTAAACAAACCTACTGCCCTGCCAGTCATATAAAAGTATAGCACATACAATTATGTACAGTATACAGACACTCCTCTACTTACGAACTTTCAAATTACAAACTTCCAGACATACGAACGAGGAGGACTATAAGTCCAAATTGTGTTCATTGGGCTCCCGTTTCCTGTCCGCAACAACAATTTTTTTTTTTCTGCACGCCAATTCCACCTAGTATGACTTCTGGCCGCTACTCCCACCGCGCAGCAGCGTAGCGTGCGTACTCCCAGCATCCCAGTTCTTAGTACTTGCGTATGCCCTTAAAATAATGGTGAATAATGACTTACGAACATTTCAAGTTACGAACAGCTGTTCGGAACATAACTCATTCGTAAGCAGAGGAGCGTCTGTATAATACCTGATAATGATAACTATAGTGCTGTTTCAGGTATTTACTATATTGTACTTTTTATTGGTTAGGCTATACCACATAGCCTAGGTGTGCAGGTGTACGCTCTGATGTTCGCACAGTGACGAAATCGCCTCACGACATCTCTCAGAGCGCATCCCCACCGTTAAGCGATGCATGACTGTGCAGACATTGCTGCCAATTCAATGTGTGTTGATGGTCAGGGTCGAATGACATGCAGCTCAGGCATGGGTACATGCCCCACCCCCCGTCACGCCGGCTGCTCTACATCCAGTTAATTTTGGAAAATTAGGACACCCCACCGTACAGAAATAATGTAGGAGGCCATCAGGCATATACATATATAAGGCAACTAATGTACCACTGCACACAATCCAGGCATATTGGGATTTCACAGCGTGCTTCTGATCTATAATAAATCAGAAATAAATATATGAACATCCTCACTGGCTCCAGTAACGGCCACCATCTAATGGACATTTGGATGCGCTGACAGCCAAACAGGATCGCATAGCTCGCTGGTACGACAACAGCCCATTAAGATAGGCAGACTTACAAAAATGTGGGTTTTTTTTCTGGCATTTCAAGAATTCCTATCAGCACACCACCAGGATAGGGGGGGGGGGGTGCATAACTCAGTGTTTACAGAGTCATGCAGCCAAGGCTAACCCCCCCGCCCGGTACAGGCTTGCAGAGCACAGCACGCTCACCCTCGTCATTACAGGCACGACGACATTAATAACACGCAGGCTGGCACAGCTGGTGGCCAGACGGCACGCTGGCGCCCCACCGGGCAGCCCGCTGAGCTCCTAAGACGGGCAGCGGCAGCAGCTGAGTGCCAGGGTAAGCTCACCTCAGGCGGCTATTCCCAGCATGCATCTGGAGAGAACCACCAATGAACAGAGGGCTGGCTTATGAGAGGATGTGTGTATTAGGGGAGCACTGAGGCCTGAAATGGTAACACACATGTAACACACATCATAATTCAGGGTAATATTACTACATGTGTCACTACTACAATAGAACCACTAATAAATAACCAAATATACCTTTGGGAATTTGGTTGGCAAGGAAGAGATGTATCCATGTTTATCACGTTACCACAGCTGAATTACAGTTAGCTACAATGGAAGGAATCCAGGCTCTGTTTTTAATATGTTGTCCCCTCCTCATTTAGGAAGCAGAACACAATATGCTCACTCACTCGCTCACTCGCTTCTACGATCACTCTTCCACTTTTTAAAAGACATTTTACTGTTTGTACTTCATCTAAGGGGAAATCATGTGGAACATGCATCTGCTTTTTGGAAGAAACGCACTTGATATTTTCAGTAAAATACACAAATCCCACCAGCAAAGCAGCCTGCTGACCAGCCTGCGGATGACCGCTGACGGATGTTCCAGTAAAGGCACTGGTGTTGGTTCACCACACAGCTACTGCTTTAAGCACTGCAGTCAGCATTTCTGCTGGTCATGTGACAGCCGCCTCGTATTGGGCAGACCCATGACTGGCCCTGCCTGTCTGTCTGTCTGTCTGTCTGCCTGTCTGTCTGCCTGCCTGTCTGCCTGTGTCTGCCTGTCTGCCTGTGTCTGCCTGTCTGTCTGCCTGCCTGTCTGTCTGCCTGCCTGTCTGCCTCTCCGTCCGTCTCTTCCTAAAGCTGTCTGCCGCCCCTGTGTGGGAGCCAGCAGCTGTGAATCCTCACACATGATTGTACTTCCCGCCACGGCCACGCCAAGGAGTTTAAGAGGTGAGGGTTTCCTGCTGGAAGAGAGGGAGACAAGGAGAAGAAAAAAAAAAAAAAAAAAAAAAACAGGGAAGGAACGGAGGACAGGAGACTGGCAAAAACCAGATGGGAGGCTATGCCAGAGGAGAATATAACTCCCCCCCCCCCCATGCGATGGGAGCTCTGATCGCACAACAGCCAGGAGCACTGTCATGGGTCACCAGTGCCCAAAGTTCAACGGGAATGCGGTTTAGAGTCTAAAGGGCGGCCAATTTCACAGGCCGTAAACTCATTTGGAGGAAAGCGTTACCGAGGTGCCGGCAGGGGGTAGAGAGGAAGTAAAGAGATGCACCCCACGCCATTCTCCCAGCATTAGCATTCTGCTAACCAATTTCGCAGACTGTGGGCTGCGTAAGTCACTCTGACAGCAAGTAGTAAGAACTAAGGCTACTACTAAGGAAGCCAGAGCAGTCCTGGAGGTCAGAATACAGTGTTCAAAGGGGTGTCAAAGGGGTACCGCCCCCTGACTGCAGCTCAGAGCCAATCAGAGGGCACTGGAGGTCAGAATACAGTGTTCAAAGGGGTACCGCCCCCTGACTGCAGCTCAGAGCCAATCAGAGGGCACTGGTGATAAAACTTCACATGAAGCTTCTGATCTCGGCGCGATGAAGAGAGCTACATTCTTTGTTTTACTACCAATTGTAATTTAAAACACCCTGTGGGTTTGGTGGTTATTCTAACACTACATTGTTATATTCAGTCATTATTCACTAAAGGCTGAAAAACAAGGTTAAGGGAACAAATCCTCAGGAGGCGTTGCTAAAGAATAGCATGAGCGGACAAAAAAAGCACAAGCGGACAAAAAAAGGAAATGTTTGACTGTTGACAGGTGTAACTTTTTCGTAACTACTTTGAAAAACCCAGGCAATGAAGAAATGTACAGGCAAAATGTGAACTTAAGGTTTCTTTGGGCAATAACTGATAAAATTGACATTTGATGGCACATGAAGGAATATACTACACAGTCAGGGTGTTCCTGCATTTCATGCTGAGAGCCGCCTCCCCCCTGCAGTGTCCCATGACATCATCCTCCTCCACCACTTCTGAGCCAAGAACCCAAGGTTCTGATGTCATGCTAGAGTTTACCATGCATTTACTGAGCTGACGCAACAGCTGAGGATTTCACCACTAATCAAAGGGTGCGAGACCTTAAGTAGGTCTGAAGGGATCTGGTGAACTGAACGTCTCAGGGAAACTTAAGTGCTAAAGAGCAATTATACGGAGTTAGCACCATGCCACCAGGTGACCTTAAATGCTCAGCTTCTGCTCAGACCTGGTCTTCTAAAGTCTTATGGGTTCTCATCTGGGACAAGTCCACTGGAGCTCAGCCAAATTTTAGAG